ACTTTTAAACACCAGCACTGAATACTTTGTTCTGTAATTTTTTCTTACATTATCTTAACTATTATTTGGTCAAACACTAGTATACAAAATTAATTTTGGACATCACAGTAAAAATTATATAACTATCTAAGAACATTTTAGTTTTAAATAAAGATAGGCATAGTTGGATGGGCCTATCAAACAGTTGCTATTTTTGAAGTGTTATACTGTACCTGTAGGTTTATAGGGACATCACACATGCTTTGTTACAATCCGTCCTTACAGTATAGGATGTCTAAGTTTTTGTTGTAAGAAAGAATTAGCTTTTTACAACAAAGTACCTATTACATGTCTTGATATTACTGATTCTCTTAAATTCTAAAACTTTGTACAACCATACATTTAAATGGAAACTATTATATTAGTGTATACGTTTAGGCAAAGATATAAACTGACCAATTCATCAAATTAAGCTTTAATATCAACATATAAAAGTACAAAACACATCTGTTTCCACGAAAGAACTTCACTAACATTTCATTAGACAACAACAATATGCATTATGTAGGGTTGCTTTACATGATCGCTTCGTAATTCATCGACAACGTCATATTCCACGTATTAAGCAGTGATTCCCTTACAGTTCTTGTTGGCAAAGTGATTACCCTTGTTAGCTAAGGTCTCTGTTTCTGCATATCAATGAGGTGTAGGTTCATTCTCTGTTAGCTTTGTAGTTACAGGCACTGTACAAACAATCAAAGACAAGCTGTTGACTCGATAGTACTTGGGGACCAAGCTTTGGTTTAGAAACTGCTTCTCCATTTTTGTCGTAGATGTATTATTAGTGCGTAGGATCATTGTACAAGTGATTTCCATACATTTTTATTATTATTGACTTTGGATAGTGCAAGTGGACTTCTTATTCAAAAAATAATAATAAGGCGTCTGCTTTAATGTGTTTTTCACACCTCGGACTTGCGTGGGGTGATTTCAGTTGATTTTTAATTATTTTAGGATAGTTTTTCCAAAGTAAACGTTGACCTTTGAATTGATTAACGTCATTAGCTGAACATAAAATAAAGAAACATTTTTGATAAAGCTTCTGCTAGGATTATTAAGAAACTAAAAGTCAATAAGCAAATCAATGACGTTTCTCTAGTTAATTAAACTTGTGCCAAGGATGTTTTTTTACATAATGCGGAAATATTTTTTTCACGCACGTGAAAATTTGCTTAATCAAACACATCACTAGTACTAGCAGTCAGCTTTAGTTTTGAACCTTAACTATTTAACCTTAACTATTTGAATCTTACAAGTAAAATGTTTAAGATTGAAAAACATTAAAATATTAATGAAAAGCACATACTAGCGCAATTATTGAATGAATAGCCATAACTGTAAAAACCTTTCAGTTTCGTTGTAAAATATTGTTTTGAGCATTTCTTTAATTTCCAATGGCGTTTTCGTAGTTACATGAAACATAAATAAGGCTTGAAACTTGGTAGGGAGGTTACGTTGCGGAGGTTTTCCCCTTAATAATGTAAACAGCTGATTCACTTACGATCCACCGGGACTTGGTTTGTTTGAATTTATACTGAGAGATACATTTTGCTTGTAACCGTATCGACTACAAGTTTTAGGGATTTCAATGTTATGGTTAAATAGAATTGATCAATTGTACCAGCAGTTTCACCGCATTATTTGATCGTTCATGTCATCCATTGCGTAGAGTGTTAGACTTATGTACGTCATCAATCTCATTTCATGTTATAGTTTATTTCATAGAATATCTAACAATTAACCTGAAGCTATACTTCCCGGAACTCTCTACCAATATTTTAGGGCATTGTTCCTGGGTAAGAAACATATCTAAATATCATATTTAAATTGTCCGGAAGTCCTTATTTACTCAGATAGCCGCCATTTTGTTTTTTTCACTTATTAATTTTTTCTGAAAATTGGTTAAACATACGAAGTTGAAACTTTTCAAAAACATTTGTGACAACTAGACAAAGCTACAAAAAAATTATGACGATTTTTCAAATTCATAAAACAAAATGGCGGCTGTTAAAAATTTTGTTTCTTAAATTACTCGAAAACCGTTGATTTTACAAATATTTTACAAGGATATCTTTTTTAAGGCAATTTTATTACAAATCGATCGACACCTTAATCTTTAAGATCGGACGAGTAATAACTGATATATGGCAGTTTTAGTGATACGTGACCGCTTTTAGCATGCGCTGCAACTAATATCCGGCGGTCACGTATCACTAAAACTGCCATATCTCAGTTAATACTCGTCCGATCTTAAAGATTAAGGTGTCGATAGATTTGTAATAAAATTGCCTTAAAAAAGTTATTCTTGTACTATTTTTGTAAAATCAACGTTTTTCGAGTAATTTAAGAAACAAAATTTTAAACAGCCGCCATTTTGTTTTATGAATTTGAAAAATCGTCATAATTTTTTTTCTAGCTTTTTCTAGTTGTCATAAATGTTTGTGCAAAGTTTCAACTTCGTATGTTTAACCAATTTTCAGAAAAAAATTAATAAGTGAAAAAAACAAAATGGCGGCTATCTGAGTAACTAAGGACTTCCGGACAATTTAAATATGATATTTAGATATGTTTCTTACCCAGGAACAATGCCCTAAAATATTGGTAGAGAGTTCCGGGACACCCTGTATAAGCTTTAAGGTTACCTACTAGATTAGGAGGAAAATGAGTTTCCAATTCATTTACAACATGTGTGGTAGCTATAATAGATTAAATTTGTGAAATTGCCAGAAAAAGTGCTATAAAACCATATGTGATTTCTGATAGAAATATTGTCAGTTTGACTTTTAATAGAACACATACTTTTCATATTTGATCAAAAAAGTGTTTGTTTTTATTAACTCAAATTTGAACTTTTAAAATTTTGCCATGTATTAGAATTTATAAGTTAACCCAATATTAATTGCCCATATCTGCCGTTTAAGTCCAGCATACAATTCTTAAAATTTGAAAATATTAAGCATTTAAAGCTAAAAATATCGGTACAATCCAACTATAACAATAATGTATCAATCTAATATTTCTAGCTCAAAAGATCTGCATGGAATTTATTACTAGATGGAAAAAGGTCCGAAGTTAATAAGAATCTTGGGAATGTTGTTTAAGACTGATAATTCAATTTTTTTCTGATTTTCTCAAGTTTTGGACCTCGAAGACCCTGTAGAAAAAAGAGGATGGGGATATTTTGAAAAATCTTTAAAATTGTTAACACTTTTTTGCTTTTCTCACAATAATCTTTTCCCTTACTTTATACCGAAAAAGAATTCCTTACACTTTTGTAGAGGGTTAAATAAGATCTACAAGTCACATGACAGTTCCATTGGTTTGATGTTGATGTATCCCATACAATAAGATACACTAACCATGTTTGTCACAGTGACTACTGAGTGAGGTTTGGTTACTGATGACAGTAGACACACGACGTGACATGGTAGGTTTAGGCATATACAATGTACATTGTACATTGTAGTGTAATTGTACTACATTATTCAACTCATGTGAACCACTTTTACTTTACATTTTTGTAATCGTTAATAATTCACTTATTTTTTGGACGTATTTAGAAAGTTACCTAAATAATTTTAAAAGGCTCAACGATGATATTGGTTAAATCTACCATTCTTCCTTTATTAAATCAACTGTCCTTGCTTTCGAACATGTTTCTTAATAAACGTTGTTGAAACAACATTAAAAACCCTTCCACTACGTAAATTTAAATTCTTTGATATACCCATTATTCAGGTTGATAGATGGGCTGACGTAATAATTCAGCCGCCAGATGTTAGTATGCGGATCACGCTGTTGTAATCGCAGCCATCAACGATTTGACTGCGACTCGTTAGCAGCTCTTCAACTAAACGTTCCCGACATATCGTCGCTTGTTACAAACTCGCAGTAAAATTTTGGTACATATTTAAATAAACTGTAATTTTTTTCGCTTATAAACTAAAAAATCTTAATTTGTTTCGATAATTTTAGTTACAACTAAAGTTGTTTAAATAGCTGAATGGTTATAGCTTGCATTCAAATTTTAGGTTTACTGATTCAATCCTAGCGAGGTTGAGTCTCGATCCAGGCGTAATTGGTCTTTGGACTGTCTATTGATTAAATGCTTCCATCAAAATCTTTATGTTGGATAATAACAAAATGACGATGTTAGAGAGTAATAAGGGATTCAAATGTACTTTTTAAATCAAGTAAAAACTGCCTTAAGGGATAGAATAACTCAAGCATAGGTTAGTTTTGTTTAATCTAATAATATCTATTTCCTTATTTAAAGTTTGTCATTGATTATATTTATGTAGAAATGCAGGAGATTTAAATATTTATGTATATTATAGAATATTTAAAACTGAGAAACCCGTGTTTTTTAATACACGAAAAATGAAATAAAATGTTGTTGTAAATAAAATTGGTCCTACTTTACCATAATAGTGTGGCCAGTTGTAAATATAAACCTAAAATGATTTTTATTACAATCGGAAAATTCAGCTTAGCTGAAATTGAACGCTTTTGCTCTTTATACGGTATTGCTAGATTTCAAAATTATTATAATTCGTTTTTATTGCATAGCAATCAATCTGCCTGCCTTTTGTAAAATGTTATTGGAAAATGTTCATTATTTCATCCACTCATATAAAAATAGTTAAGGAGAGTTGACAAATAATAATGTTCTTTTGGAAAGTGGAACTCAGTATGCTCGTTCATAGTCGATGTTGGTTGATTCCTGACAACAATTAATTAAACACTCTACTGCTATATTTCATCAATCTTACATATTTAGTGTTAATCGATGTTTTTTGATTTCCTTAAATGAAAACTTCTATGATAGTTTCAGCGTTTTTGATCAACGTTCTTCAACTTCTGAAATACAGACACTTTCGTGTTTTTTTAACGTCTACGATCTTTTATAACTCCAGGATGTATGACTTGTTCTTCAATAACCTATATTTTATCATTTTCAGATGTTCGATGACTTCATCTTCGCCTTCTTCGCTCTGGAGATGTCCATCAAGATGATAGCTATGGGAGTTTATGGGAAAGGCACGTATCTCGCAGACTCATGGAATCGACTTGATTTCTTCATTGTATTAGCCGGGTGAGTTTATAACGATGCATAATTTCATTTTTCAATATTATTGTTTTCCTTTTAGCGAATTTCTCATATTGGGAACATGCTATTACCATCGGTCTCACGGTAAAACCTGGACCCGGGACCGATTTACTTTTTCGTTCTGATGTCGTCAGAGACCAAAAACTCCATCCGTTAAAACTAATGTACATGGTTATATGACTAATTATTGTATATATAAATCAAATTATAATTGAGAGCTTCTTAGATATGAAGAATCTATATTAGTTATTAACGTAACGATAAAATAGAAGCCTGACATTTAAATTATTATTTATAACATTAAGGTATTCTATTGTATAACAAGCAGTTATGATAATTTAAGAGATTAAATTTTAAAAGTTGCACATTTCAGCAAAAATGTTATCGTGTCAGCCTGAATTAAAGTCTATATTTGTCATGGTTGTTTACGACAATAATAAAATTTAACCATGTTTACTGAAACTATTCACGTAATTGTGCAGTAAAGTTTATTACATATGGTTTTGCATTTTCATTAGTGTGGTAATGCAATCGTAAATTCAACCATGGCTATAAGTATATTAATCACCATAAAGTAAAATTAGTTCTGTTCTTATAAATTGTTATATACATTCTCATTGTTTTTACTACTTTTGTTTTATGTGTCTCTAAAATGTAACGCTTGTTTATTACCCTACACTGTAATACGTTTTGCTGACCTTTTGGAAAGGGGAAAAAAGTTAAAAAAAACTCAACCCGAACAATATTTGCTTGAAAACGTATCTAGAATACATCTTGTACTTAATCCAAGTACTCAGGATATCTATATCCCTAATCTTGTCTGTCCATCTGTCCAGGCTCTCATAATTTTAATATAAAAAATACTATGTTTACTTATTAAATGATGATGGCAGTTGTATTTTCTATATTTATGTCGTATACAAATTCACAACTATTTTTAGCATTAGCAGTTTTTAAGCCTCTTAAAAAGTTATGTTTCAAAATCCTAAGACCTTTCCCTGTTACAAAGCTCTAGTAAACCTATTACAAACTAATTTCTACACGTTGCTGTTTTTAACTCATTCAATGCAAATTTAAGAGCCTTTCAGCTTAACTGAAGTAGGTACATTAAAATATCCATTCTTGTTTGGAACAGAGAAACACTTTGTATTATCTGTTTTGTGGTAAGGTTCTAATCCTTTGTTCCTGCTGGTTACCATTTAATCCACTCTTAACCCATTCCCGGTCTGATAGTCCACCTGGGCTGAACTGACCCTTTTTTGGAACATCGTTATCTCTTTACTATTTTACCTCGCTAAGAGATAAAACTCGTTAACTTGTTGAGTAATGGTTTCCAATTTAAGTTGTATTATCATTTTAGCGGATTTACCTATAAGAAAGTAACTTTCATGGTTAGACTGAGTTCTGTGACTACTGTTTTTTTTTTCACTTTTAAGTCTGAAATAGCCAAAACACACAGTTTGTTTGCCGAAGTCTAGCTTTACCATTAAAACCAACTTAAACTAACACAAAGGTAGTATATAGCTATAACCTTTAAAGGTACGCTTTGCTTGGAGCGACAGGTGCGACGGTCGCGCAGCGACTGTCGCCGAGCGGCAGTCGCGGGGTGGTAGACGGTTTTGCTTGGAGCGACAACTTCTTCTTCCTGGCGTTAAGAGACATGGTACCGTCAGTGCACCTAACCTCAAAAGTGCGCACTAAGTATATAGTCACTAAATAAATTCGATAAATTCACTTAGTAAAACAGGTAAAACTTAACAATAAAGTATTCTTTACAGGCCTAGTAATTTGTTATGAGTATAATTCCAAAACTGCCATGTCACAAGCCAAAATGTAATAAAATTACTCAATTGTACTGTAGTAGCCTACACAAGCATAACATGAATTGGAAATCAGTGTTATAAACAACCTCCTCACAGAGTGAAAATTATATTTTGTTGATTGTATTGTAAATGAAAAGAAAATAACAAATACATTATATACTCCATTAATATTTGAATAGCCTCTTCTTAACACATTACTTTAATAATTGGCATTTTATATATTTACATATGACACGCCTGACTTTTAAGCTCGGCGACTGTCGCTGCGCGACCGTCGCACCTGTCGCTCCAAGCAAAACGTACCTTAATGTGTAATTTGCAGAGTGTTGTCTACCATCTTCGAAATAAAAAGACCGTTAATCTTGAGCGCTTCCCATTACACACTAGTTCATATAATAAGTATGAAAACATAAAGGAAATACTTCAAAACTAATTTGGGTATGGTTTTGATTTTATACGTGGAGAATTAAACGATTTGTGGTTTTTGCAACCTTGAGCATCTAAAAGCAACTTTTAGGCAAAAAAAAACAAAAAAACTCTTAGGTCATATGAATCTCCCTCCATCAAATAAGGCTCTAAAAAAACACAAGATTGTTAAAACTATATGATTCTATTATTTACCAAATGAGAACGTCATATATCGTTATAAAAACCCATATATTAAACATAATTACAGAAATATAAATTAATTGGTCCTGCGAACGTATCCGTAACTAATCAATCTGTGAGCTTTAATTAAACTGCATAATTACTCATGCTTTAATTAATTAAACGGAGAAGTGTTTTCAACCACACTTCCTGCTATTACAGTATCAAAATGGTTATGAGTGTTAACCATGAAAGCATAAATATAAACATGATACATTCAAAACACATTACACTAGTAAGGGTTGTTCAGATTATTTCCTCTTTTAATACCGCTGATATAAATATAAAGAAAACCCGTACTAAATTGCATTCTGTGCTCTGAAGACTTAAATTTCCTATTCATCTTAGGAGTGTAATATAATTGCACTAAAATAACCAATATTTCTCCCATCTTGGGAAGTAGGTATTTTAATTACATAAATATTAGCCAAATTGGACAGCAAGATATGGAAACTTTAAAAATGTCATATTTCGAAGACTTAAATTTTACCTTTGTCTTAAGAGTAATATAAATATCTTAGGATCAATATTTGACTCTTGTTTGGTGGTAGGTGATTGAATAAGTTAAAACTTAGCCATAATTGACAGAAAGAGTCCTTTTATTTTTTAAAGTTTAAAGAGACAGTCGTACAGAAAAGTGATTAACAGGGGATATGAAGTTATACAACTATGAATTGCTAAGAAAGTAAATGATTTCCTTGCACTCTTACACCCCAAGAAAGTTGTTAGAATTGAAGATCAGTAGATGAAATTACATTCTATCGATTAGCCTACACGAAGATTAATATTCTGAACTTTATAATTTGTTGACGCACTTATTTAAAGGCACAGAAGAGCTGATAAGTTAAGCATGTTTAACAAACCAATAATATTAAGGTATTATATATAATTTAGTAGCAAGCAGCAAAAATAAAATATGCTTAGTTAACTTTCAAGTTTTGCCCTCGAAACCCATCAGGCTTAACAACGCTGTTTGTGGATGTTGAATTGAATGTTTGCCCCAAGCGAAGCCTGTTAAGACTAAGTGAAACAAGTTTTAAAACTTTTCAGTCGGATTATCGGATTTAAGTGTTAAAAGTAAAATATTTTTTAAATCTTGTTTGATAACTTAGAACCACATCATTTTCAAAATATTTTGGTTATTTTAAGGATGACGATTTTATTGCAGATCAACAAATAAAACAAAAATATATATTTATTATTAATTTCTGAATTTCAACATCTCTTGTCTTCTAAGACCTTTTAGCGAATTTCCCATATAGGGAATAAGCTATTACCGTAGGTCTCATGGTAAGACCTAGACCCGGGACCGATTTACTTTTTCGTTTTGAGGTCCCCAGAGGCCAAAAACACCATCCGTTCAAATTCATATATATATATATATATATATATTTATATATATATATTTATATATGTGTCCGTTAGCGCGATAACTCGAGCAAAAATGATCCGATTTTGATGAAATTTGGTACAAAAGTGTAAACCTACGTTTATTCGAACGAGTTCGCGAACCAGCATGATCGGACCATGGGAACAGGGGTTTATGGGGGGTTTTATGGGGTAAAAATAGGTTTTTCCCATTTTTGACCCTAAAAACTTAAAATTTAGCAATTTCTTTCCAAACCATTTTGTAGAGCTTAAAAAAAGAAATAATTTAGTATATTGAAGCGCTGTTGTATGCCTAACGGTCACGGAGAAAATTAAAAAAAAGGTAATTTAAAATTCCCATGTTATTCTTATGGAGAAAATGAAACTGTTGTAATTTACTTGTTTATGGATATAATGTTGATAAAATTTGGCAAATTTATTTATTTCATCCTATACTATTGACATATTGTCAAAAAACACTTTTTACCTTCCCCGTAGCAGCAAACCTAAGCACTTGTTAAATCTAATGTTATTTAAATTGGAAATATATAACTTATGTTTTATTTATGGAAATATTTTAGTAAAAATGTAATCAGACAAGTTGAAATTCGCTTAGTCTGCAGGTTTGCTGCGGCGGGGGTATTTAGTTATATACCTAATTTGAATTGTAAATATTGAAAAAAAAAAATTACACAAATAAGCTAAATGCACTTATAATTCTTTTATTATAATTTGGTTCTACATTTTGTACCTTCGACATTTTGTGTGTATTGATAGAAGACTGTGTTTAGCCTATGTTTATTTTGAAGTGTTTGCTAAAGCGTGTGCTTAATATCTGTGCTGGTTCCTGGTCAAAGTCTACATTCGAAAAGCAAACTCCATAAAGCACTAGTACGAAAAGAGTTCACATCAAAGGCACAACTCCAACGTTAATGTTCCAAAAATAATGGGATGATGAGGCACTGCTCCGAAACAATAATGTTATGTTTTAGGGTCTCCTAACCTGAAATTCACTTATCCTTTTTCGCTAAAATGTATAGTCAATTTGTTTCTCGTTAATCTAGTAGTGACATTAATTTGTGTATATTTACTCGTATACTAATAGGCATCAAAACTAATTATAGTCATTGTTCCCTGCAGAAACAG